TACTCTGTTCTGCCCCTTCCCTCCTTGACAAATTACAAAGCCTTCACTGATTTCTTTCACCTCGTTAATATATCAGAAAAAACTTATTCCAGGGTTAGTCCATTTCCAGGGTAGTGAACTGAATGGAGGTGTCCTCTGAAAAGCAGAAATAGCACAAGTGAGGGATGAAGACTGGGCTGGGACCAGGGAGGGCAAATGATGGTCAGAAAAGAAAAACATCCTATTTTTTTGTAGATGAGACCAAGAATCTCTAATCTCTATTTTTAGGAAAAAGTCAGTCTAAGCCACCAACTGACAATGACAAAAGTATAAAGAATTCATTTTCCAAGAGTCTGACAAGGTGACAAAGGTGACCAGTTCTTTCTATATTGAAAAGAGATAGAAAGAGACATCCATAGAGGGATTCAGACTACCTACCTTCAGCCTATCTCCTGAAGCTGATTAGTTAGGCTCTTTTCTAGAGGTGCTTATCTCTCCGTTGGCTATAGAGATAGCCAGTTGAGTAGTTTAGAGAATCTGCCCAGTTCTTAAGTGGTGAAAGCTAACAGAGAAAAGTTCCATCACGAAAGAGACTAATTAAAAATGTGTAAATATTAAAGGTTTCAGAACTATGGAAAGGAAATATTTTTCATAGATAGTTGGATCATGGAACTACTTAACCCAAACAGTCACTGAAGCAGAATGTAAGAATCTATTAATATGAATATTAAAGCTGTCTAGATGATTTTGAAGAAGAGGCAGTAGAACTCTTAGGATTAAGCTATTGTCTAATGATTTGAGAGATCAGAGAAGAAACTAGAGTAGATGAAGTGAAGGATGGGAGAATATCTCTTATGTGTCTTCAAATTCCTTGTATGTTTCTCTGGAAAGAACAGAACATGTTTTTGAGTCAGATGTGATGGCTGAATATCCCTCAATACAAGGCAATGTTTCAACAGGAAAAGATGTAGTCATTTTCTATATCTGGATTCAAAAGCACCTTCTAGTGAAATAGAAATGAAATAGAGAAATCCAACTGTGTGAAGTCAATACAGACATAAATTATAGCAATATTTAAGTAAGAGCCCATGTGTAGCCTAGATCAATAAAACAAACAAAAGTAGAAAAATAAAAGATAAGGGCGTAATAAGCAAGAAGTTCACAAAGAAATGACAGTCTCTTGTATCCGCCAGAGCTCTGTTCCCACATGCTCTGCTGAACATGCTTTTCGTGTGCTATTTCTGTCTGCACAAAAGTTGCACTTATCTTTTTCAGTTATTTGAAGACAGTTTTTATTTTTCCTTTAGAGTTACCATGAAGTACATTTGGACTTTTCAGTCTTCCTATTCTTCACACCCTACTAATCATGTGCCTTCCTACTTATTTCATCACCTCAATTTCCTGAACTATTTCTTGTTTTCTTTTTTTATGCTTCTGGTCAAGAGATGACCAAACCTAACCAGTGGTATTTCAAGTGCAACAGAGCAGCATACACTATAGTATATAAAAATCTCTCTAGATTTTCAGTCTTGGCATTCTGTTGACCAGAGGCAAAAATTTCACCTTAAGGCTCTCTTGATGAGGAGTCATATTCAATCATTTTTGGTCAATATGCCCCATACACCTACAGACAGATAAAGTAGACAGCTAGTCACATAGGATGCTTCTTTTTCCTTCTCTATTTCTGGAAGTCACATTGGATGGCAGAAATTTCGAACTTTGGCTTTGAGAAAGATGGAAAAATAATAAATTAATAGAACAATTTGGGCACAAAAAAAGTAGAAATGTTTTTTTAGCTTACTTGCATCCTTGTTCCAGACAGCAAGGACTCGAAAAATGAAGGCACTAAAGGTAGCTGCAAAGAAACCTCTCCAATAATTGCGAACAGCAAAGTAAGTGGAAGTGACCTCAATGCTGAAAAGGACCCCTGGAAAAAAACAGATATGTAGTTACTTGCAAGTAAACCCACAAGTCTTCACATCCCAGTCTGCTGTCATCTTCCTGCTGTGGTCACAGTGTCTACACCAGAGAGTCTGCAAAGGGGGCAAAGCTAAAATCATGTCAAAAGTGTTATGTCAGAAACATAAGAGAGGCTCCTAGACAAGTATCTAAAGAGCCTTCCCCTCTTGCCTTCAGGAGGCTGACAACATACGGAGAAAATAATGAAAGATTGCATCAGAGAAGCTGGGGAGACTGAAAGCATTAAAGGCAAGTTTCTTTGTTCAAGATAGGTGACAGACCAAGAAGAGGGTGTAGGAAAGGGGAAAAGGAGACTACAGCTAGGCAGGAGAGGATTTAAGTACCTGAGAAAGAGGAAAGCAAAGTGAACAGCCACTTGCCTCCAAGTGGTGTCCCAAAGCAGCAGCCGACCCCAACAGCACAACCCACAGTCAGGACATCTGTGTAATAATATGGCTGCTACTGGTGGAAGAGACAAAAAGAGACAAACAAACAGAAGAAAGAAGGGAAGAAAGGAAAGAGAAACAGGAATTAGCAGGTACAGCCACATGGTATCATTTAGTTCTGTTACCAATCTTGGGTTTATGCTTATCTTGCTTTTCTCTCCTGGATGGCTTCAAAATAGTCAAAACACCTGGCTCAAGGTATGCCTGGAGTTACACCTTTAAAACACATGGAAAAGGCAGCATTCTGCATTTCATTGAAACATGCACATTTGTGTCACTATTGAAGAAATGTCTTATGGAAAATCCTTGGGAAGCTGGAGGTCCACATTTGTTTTGCTCTATCTCTTTTACTCTGGTAGGAGATTTTAGAATGCACATGTGCAGAGAGTACCTCAAGGAAAAAATCGCTGAGTTTCGATGCACAAGGTACATACATATCCAGAACTGAACTCAGACAGCTGGTGTACATTCTATCATCCTGAGTAGGTAAGAGGATCATGCAGTAAAATACTGAAATCTCTTAGTGAAAGCAATCAAGATACTAAAGTAAAACGAGACTGTTTGGAGGACACAGAGCTGCTGAAAGGGAGAAATTCACCTTCCCCTCTTTCTCCAAGATTTGGAGAAGTACCTGAGGACCCTGCAATGCCTGGTGAGGAACCTTAAGAAAGGGAAGCAGGTAAGTTTTATTTTGTGTTGTCTATAGCTTAGATGATTTTTAGTACAGAGAACACTAGGGTTAAAGCCTGTGTTTTTTGGTGCTTCATGCTATCACTCATCCTCAAAGTAGCCTATTAGATCTCCCACAAGAATGGAGTTTTGAGAAGGGTATTTTTGTGTTACTGTGGTGATAGAAATGGCCAAGGTGACCTCTAATGGCCAAAGACCATGAAAGCCCTGTGTTTGATGGAGCTTCAGCCAAGAGACGTGTCAGGGCTGTAAGGCTGGGGATCACCCCCTGGCTCCAAATAGAGTGGCCAAATATGCAGATTTGTCCTGGGTATCCTCTGGGCACTGTGCATTGCCCCTGTGAAATAATCATTTGTGAGAGTTGGGAGGGCATATGACAGGGGCTTTCATTCAAAGTGTCAGGATTAGTGTGATGTTTATGCTGTACCCACCAGCATTATGATTTACAATTTGAAACTGAGGATACAAGTCACATGGCCTGAAGTGTGGCAACAGGTATATGGAGTAGAGGGCACAAAACTTTATATGATAGTGTAAGAATAATTTAAGATTTAAGATTCCCAAGCATGGTTTTCTCTTAACTGTGCTGGCCACTGAGAAGGGTCACTGGCATGTGGCATCCCTCAGATGATAATCTGACACTGGTTTGCTGAATGTGCTGAATGGTATGGACCAAAACCAGGCCAGGAAACATGCCAATGAACTTGGCTCATTCCCTGATGTTTCTAGCAGCATTTCAAGAGGATTTGAAAAAAAAAGGAAAAAAAAAGAGTACTAGAGGACTCTTAGAAAGTGCAGATCTGTGCACCATTTGCTTGCCAAGGAATAAAATAGTTTTCAAACCTATATTGAGGGCTCCTTGTAATTACACAGGTGTTCACCAGGATTAGTTTAAAAAAATGTACAACATGAGTGATTGATATTAACTTGCAAGCCATATCCAGGACTTAGGTAAACTAAAGATTATGTCTCCTAGGTAATGGAAACCACATTTGGCAAGTTTGTGGACATACATTAGGAGAAAGCAAATAAGGTTATGAAAACTATGATAACTTCCAACTCCTCTACTGTGATGTAATCAGAGAGTCATATCAAGTTTTAGGCTTCAGACTCTGGAGGTCTCTTCTCCAACAACTTGCTCAGAGCTAGGCTAATTCCAAGGTTTGGTCAGATTTCTCAGGATCTTTTCAAGGGCAGTCCTGAATATCTCTAAGGTAGAGATTCCCCAGACTCCCTGGGTACCTGTGCCATCCTGAACCATCTTTGTAGAAAAGGGAGAATTTTTACATTACACATAATATTTTCCATGTTGTACTACATAGTCTTATGTCCTTTCGCTGTTCTCTGAGAAAAGTCTGACTCCATTGTCTCTCTCTAACCTCTCTTTTGTCTATAGGAAGACAGTAATTAGACCACTCTTTCTTTAGCCATTTTTTTCTCCAATACTCTAGGCTGTAGGCTGTAAATTACAAGCAATGTGTCCTGCCATTTCTGAGCCTATATTAATTCTAGATACAGAGCATGAAGCAAAACTTTAGGCTGTCTTAAGGAAGCGGTGGGGAGTGGTTTGCACTGTTTTCTACAATTAAGAAAAATCGGTTCTTCTGTATGCTATTGATAGTTCCAGCCATGATTGGCTTACTCCTTGGTTTTCAACCATCTTTCTCTCAAGGTTTTTGGCAGGCTTACGAACTTGCCTTGAAACTTCAGGCTTCAACTCAGGCTGTCTCCAACTTGCTATACTGCCCTCCCACACAGCTCTCAAGCTCCCTGTTGCTGAACCTGATTTTCTTCTTGATATGTCTTTTTTTTTTCAGGTCATCGGTTGAGGAAACTTTAATGTGTAATGGACAAACTAGTTTCCTAGGATTTTTTCCTTTTTTTTTTTTTTTTTTTACATAGCAAAATGTATGACCATCACTAATGCTGTTATCACAATGAAAGACTACATTGTATCTAACTCGTCCATTTCAAGACTAACAGCAAAGTTGTGCATGGATGAAATAAAGGTGTTTTAGGAAAAAAACATTCATATTTCAAAAAATCCTTAAACTTCTGGACAGAATAACTAAGAAGAACAATTCAGGCATAGTATGTAGGGGAGAAAGAGGAACAAAGGAACAACAAAGTTTAACATTTTAAGACTAGTTACTTATGAATATATTTCCACTGTTTTAAGAACTTACTATGTGTCTCTGTCACATGTGCTATTTAAAAAAAAAATTCCCTGATTCAGAAGACTAGTACAGATGAGAGAGAAGAGAGAAAATGTTCACAATTCACCTCACAGTAAGATCACATCAAATAGAAAAATAGAAAGGGAGTTCTGGAGCTGTCTCCTCCAACTCCTTGCTCAGAGTTAGGCTTAGTCTGAGGTTATATGAGGTTGCTCAGGATATTGTACAGGAGAATCCTGAATATCTCCAAAGGTGGAGATTCCCCAGCCTCTGGGCATCTGTCTCAATACTGAACCAGTCTCAAGGGATAGGGACATTTTTCCTTTATACATAGTCCAAGTTTCCCATACTCCCAGCTTCATGCATTGCCTCTTGCACTACATACTTCCGAGATGAGTCTGAGTTCTCTAAAATCCTCCTTTAGGTGACATAAGACAGCAAAAAGACTTTTTTAACTGTTTAAAGACTCCTTAAACTGTTATTCTCCAGGCTGATAAACCCAACTCCCTCAGCCTTTCTCCATACGTAATTACTCCAGCCTCCCAACCTTCTTATTAACTGTCTGCATCTCTCTTGCCCAGGAGAGCCCAAAAAATTTACACAGAGATTTTTTTCTGTTCTCCAATCCATTGATAAAAATATACATACAGTTGTTCACTACTGATGCTATCACTTCCTGTCAAAATTGCTGTCATCTCCTGCCCTTAAATGATGACACCACTTACATGAAGTGTTTTTTAGCTTCTGTTCTCTACCAAATCTTCATTATTTTGTGAACAGAAATTGGCGTTTTCCATGTTGAACAACTCTCTGGAAGCAGGCAGGGACTGAACAAGCTGCATCGTTAGAAACCAGCACCATAAAAGATGTCATTTTTCCTATGCCCTTTGCAGGATAAAGTTTTCTCTTTCTTCTATTGCCTGCAATTACATGATGCTGCAGAGCTGAAGAGACATTTGCGAAGAACCTGCCCAAGACCAGGGCATTTCACAGTGAGCAGCAAGATGAGGTGTACATCAAATGTCACATACAGGAAGACACTTGCCTCCAAGAGGAGCCCCGAAGCAACATCCAACTCCAACTGCGCAAGCCGCCACCAGGAGATCGAGCTGCCTGTGCACATTCTGGAACAGAGAGTGCAGCCAGAGAAGGGCATGCTGGGGTTAGAAGGAGCAAAGCCAACGGGTTAGGACCCAGAACACTGATACAAAGCAACAGCCAGCAGCAGATTCAACCATTGCTATTCTAAATATCAGCCTCTGCACGATTTAGCACGATCTTTAGTAGGGTCAGCTGGCTACAACAGGGAGAACGGGTCATTATGCAGAGACAGGATTTACTCAACTACAACAGCACCTCCTACTGTTGTACTGCACAGCCAGCTTCTGCTGGGAACCTGTATGTAAAGCAATTGCTACATATAGCCATGTACAGAGTTAATAGATTTTTTATGCAACCAGTCAGTACAATGATCTCCACACACAGGCTTTTGTACAGCAGCAAAAGCCTGGAGACTGTGTCTATAGTTAGCAATGCATTACACATTCTGGTTTAAAGACAAGTTGATCTTGGTCTGTAGCAACTTGAGTTTTTTTTTTTTTTTTACAAAGACATTCACTGCAAATGTTTCCACTTCGTGATACAGAAAACTTGTCAAACCTACATTCCTAAACAGCCTCCGTGTAATGCAGTGGCTAATATACCTGCCTAGTCCTACATGGTTACTGGACTGTATATCTGGCCTCCCACATTTTCTTTCATTTGTAATTTACTTCTGTATAGCAGTACGATAAACTTGAATTGGTAGGCTCCCTCTGCATCTTGTGGGCTACCCATGTTACTCTACCTCCACAGGAGGAATCAGCTAGTGTGTTATAGGAGTTTGATGTATAGAAGAGCTATATGCAGAGATATGTGTCTTACCTCATACACACCACAGAAAATTGACATGAACTTGCTGAGTACAGCAGCACAGATGCTAGCAATATGCACAAAAGGACCCTGCAAGAGAAGAACAGGGGAAAATCAGAGAGGGTTGCCCTCTACCACTGATGACCATTTAGTCATCGCCCAACCTCTTTGACTGTCCTAACCTGCCCCTCATTATTTCTCTTCTTCCTTTCAAAGACTACTTGACTTGAGTCGCTGACCTTTCTGTAACAAGCCTTTCATAGAGAAAGGAAAATGGCCAATTGGACATAAGACTTGCTAGAAAGAACACAGATTTGAGAAGAGAAACAATGGCAAAGGAAAGAAAACATGATCTTTCACAGACAATGTTTCCCTCCCACATCCTGGAAACCACAGCGCATGAAGATAGCAACATTCACCTCTTTCCCCACGGGCATGCCACTTCCAAGCCCAGCTGTAAGGCCCACAACTTTGGCCACAAAAGCTTTGAGAGTGAGGTATTCCTTGAGTACTACTCCCCTCATAATTGTCTTCAGTTCTGGAATTCCAGACCCTGAAAACAACAACAGGGGATGAGGAAACAATCAATAAGCAAATTGAGTATGAAAAAGAGACAGACAGAAACAGATCTTTCCATGCCTTCCACCCTCACCAACAGCCTGTGGGGAGACGAGATGGCAGAAAATGGCCGCAAACAGAATGAGAACAAGGGGGTATGTGACCCATGCCAAATACTGCATAGCGACATTCGGGTGCAGCTCTCTGTACATCCACTTGTAGGCTGTTGACAGACAAACAAAGAAGTTGTCAGTAACCACAGCTGCTCCAAACAGGTTGGAAAACATCCTCCAAACAGGTTGAAAAACAGGTTGGAATCACATACTTTCTAAACCTATAACCTAACTCTGCCCCTATGAACATTCCTGAGAAATGCTATCCTAAAGTGATACTTTTCTAAGAGAAGGATGATAATGCCTTGGAGTACAGGTTTCCAAGTAAAATGGGCATTTTTTACAGGAAGGATAGAAACAGCTTTCTATTTGTAGTCACTATTAATACCTGTATCCTAATGTGGCACTAGCAGAGTTACACTGTATGTAGTTGGGGATAAATCACTAAATGGGGGATCTTCATTTGGCAGCATGAAGACCTTATGGGTGCCCTGAATCACAATAAAGTGATTAATCAACAGCTAGTGCCCTCTTCTCCATCTCAATCATACGAAAATAAACACATAACCCTAGACAGGATGGGAAGCAGTGTAACAAGAAGGACCAGACTGCCACTCCCTTGTGGTCCTACAGTCACCAGGGAGCAGGAGTGAAAGGAAGCTGAGGTAATAGTTTGTCTTTGATTCACTCCATGTCCACTTCTTTCCACATTTTCCCCTACTGTCCCTTTAAAGAGCTAAGCTCTAGTTAAACTCCTTTCCTTACTATGTTACAAGTCCTTCAAACTTCCCTGGCAGCCAGGAGTGAGGATGGGAGACTCACATTAAAGGAAGAGGAACATTGGTCATTGGGCTTTGTAAAATATTGATTTGATTTACAATGCTGTTTTTGCAGCATTTGAAAAGAACTCACCCTGTAGGCTCTTCGCGCTGGCATAATCCATTCCCCAGCTCACCAGTGCCATGACCAGACCTAGCAGAATCAAGAAAATCCAGTCCTCTCCAAACTTCTTGGTAACATACTTCTGGATGCGTCTAGCACAGTCTGTTGAGGAGAGAGTAAACCAGAAACAATGAAGGGACACAAATGAAGCTTGTGTCTGTCTCTCCTCTCCTGTGTTGAGAACTGGTAACAGTAAGCATTTATTTGGAAGAACTCTGGACATAGCATCAAAGAACTGGCACTCATCCCTGGTTTACACAGTCCTGCAACGGCTACCAAAAAAAAAAGGAAAAAAAAAAAGAATGAGAAAGAGAGAAGAGGGGAGGGGTGTTTTATCCTCTTGGACACCAGCAGCAAAAATCTGACACAAGAAAGTTCTTTTCATCCTGTTACACAGATCTGTTGTAGAAGGGGAGATTACCTTGTGACTTTTTTCTGAACAGATCTGGGATATTTCTAGTGTGAAAGGGGATATGGAAATGTCTTTTCAATCCACTGTGTTTCCTTGTCCTTCCTTATTCATTTCTCCCCAGTCTAAGCTTCCTTATCTTTTTGCCCTGTTTAAGTTCCATCTCTCTGGCTGATCTACCAATGTTTGGTCGCAGTGTAAGTGGACATGAATTGTCCCCTACCTTGACATTTAGAATAGTGCTCTTCTTTGGTCTCTATTTGACTGTCACGTTTCAGGGTTCTTCCGTTGTTCTTCTGCACTTGTTTCTTATTCAGTAGTTTTGCTGCTTCTTTCTCAGAGAAGTCAGTTTTCTGGTCTGTGTATTGGCCATAAAGCTAGAGGAGCAAAAAGCAAGAGAGGTCAAAATGAAAAGTTAAGGCCAATATCCCTTCATAGACAGCATGAAAGATGTGAAGGCAGATCTACTAAAAGTTAGATGTACAGATTCAGGCATATCCAGGCAGGGAGACAGGGACACACAGAATCCCCTCAGAGATTTCCTTTCTGGTTCTAATACAGAAGGAGACAGTCTTGCTCATATTCATAGCAGCCAGCCTGCTGCTTTGGATGCATACTGTACAGAGCACAAACAATAGTGGCAGGAGAGGATCCTTAGGCTCTCCTATACACAAATTCAGGTCTGGGACAGACCATCTGACTGAGCTTTCCAAACATTTGTCATGCACAGATAACATACGTGGAATCTGGATATTTATTTGGGACAGCGAAGATCTCTAGAATTGTCCCTCTCATCTCTCTATGTCAGTACAAATATGAATCCAACCAATGAATCCAATCTCTGTACCCTGACTTTAACACTGATTTTTAAACTGCATTCTCTCTCGAAACAGAGTGCAGCTCTCTTCTGAAATCTCTCTATGTAAAAAAGTTACATAGATCGCTCTGGATCAGATTGCCAAAGCTTAAGCAAAATTTAATAATGCAATTAAAAAATAATTTAATGACACAGGCTAAGATGAGGTGCCTTCTTGCAACAGTGAAACTGTTCATCCTCATCTTCAACTAGGTTCATTTGAAATTCAAACTGTAAGTATCTTTGCCTCTGAGGAGTCCAATGCAATCTTGCTTTGAGCATGCCAGTCCCACTCATGTATCACCATGATCAGCATTACCAGCTACCACCTAACCCACTAACACAGAGATGTGATTTCTGTACAGATCATTATCTCCTGTAGTTTGCTTCAACTGCCAGTGCAAGGTAAGAGCTCTAAAATAAGGTCAGGTACTACACAGTGAGGATAAAGGAAATGAGTGAATTTGAAATCTCATATTTGCTAAAGGCACATGAAATTTCTCATGGTTAAATGTATGTCCCCCTTCAAAGATGCAGATATCCACTGATACATCATGCCTCACATGCTACTCAGTCACTGATGCCATAAAGTCTTTCATGTTAATGAAGGGGCATAGGACTTTTCTTTTAAATACAGCAGTAATTACAACTGTCTGTAGAACTTCTGACATTATCTTACAACTTAGTTTACTCTTCAGGTGCTAAACTCAGACTTATGAATGAACCAGCATCCACTGGCTGCTGGCTCAAATCTGGGATGACCATGGAATCCCCTTTGGAATACGGGATACCTCCAGTCTCTTTGTGAATGGGTCTGACTAACTCATATTCTTCAAAATATTGCCTAAGGTGGGGGTTTCTTAGGTTTTCTACCATTTGCCCTGTTCCCATCTCTCCTAAATCCTTGCATTCCCTTTTTGGGAGTACAGTATATGATCACAGAATGCTAATTACATTGTAATATCTTAAGAAAGAGTAAAAACCTGTTCTTTCAGGTCTGAAGGAAAGATATTAAACAGACAGTCTGGAGATACAAAAAAAGGCTAAAATAATTCCCAAGAGGCTGCCACCCTCCGGTCTTTCTGATACAGTGTGTCTCACTGTTTCGTGAGATATCACACTACCAACAGAACGCAGGAATGGCCTGGGAGTGTTCATCCCACTGCCAATGAATCCTGAATGAGGCATGCAGCCATTGTTGGTGCACAGAGTGAAAAAGAAGGGGCATCAGCACAGTTATCAGAGAAGAGCACATGCTAATTGCCATTACTTATTCAAACCATCTTCTCAAGTACCCACATATCTCCAACTCCTCTGAAATTACTAACTATCTAATCTAGTCATTGTCATCAAATACTAATCTTAGTAACATACAATTCACAGGTAGCTATGCATATGTGAACTGAGGAATATGTATGACATTTTTGCACATGGATTTGCAATAAACTTGGCAGCTATGCCTTCTCTTCAGCAAAGCGATCTCAAGTAGATTTGAAGAATTCTACCTATGCCCACTTGTTCATCTACCAGATTCCCTTGGGAGCAGACATCCTACCTTCCTCCTTTTGGGAATAGGCAGGGGAGATAATTGTTTGAGAAACTCCGAATAAGCCTCTCCATTGAAGGGTATCTTCAGGGACATACATTTGAGTTCAAAGTTCTCATCTGATGCATGACCTGTGGTCTTGGCACTTCACAGTTACCAGAATGTGACTCTTTGTTTCTTCCTCAGTACAAATCTGCTTCTCTAAGATTTTCTGAATGGTTGTAAGAGGAGAGTGAGCAATACTCAGATTAGCAAAACTACACACTTCAGCTGGACAATCACAGGACATTTGCGACATATGCAGTATTACTACATGTGTTTAGGAGATGTTTATATTTGACAGCTTTGCTTAATCTCCTTTCTGAGTGACACAGAAGATTTTACTCATGTTCCTTTGGGACTTCCATGGTCTCAGACATCAACTGTAGAAAGTGGAAAATGCAGCTGACCTGAGAAAATTTGGGATCAAACAGATTCAGAGACTCATGGAAAGATTTAGAGTGGAATGTACCTCTGGAGGTCTCTGGTCCAAATCCAGTCTTACAGCATGTTAGCTCAAAATAGATCAGGCAGCTCAGAATCTTGTCCAGGCAAGTTCTAAACATCTCCAAGGGTGGAGATCCCCCACCTTCTCTGAGCACCTGTTCCAGTGCTGAACCAATTCATATCTCCAGAGAGCAAATATGACTGAAGGTCCTAAGTCTTTTATTTATTTGCATATAGTCATCAGCTGACATTTGTTCCATGCACAATAATTTGTTCTCAGAATATGCCTCTAGGTGGCTTCCCTGTTGTTCCTTAAAAAGATCCATTCTGTCTGAACACCTATTTGAAAGTAATTTCCATTTATCACTGTACTGGAAACTGAATATTTTATTGTATTTTATAACTCCATCATTTTTATTAGGGCAAGCACCAAATCAGGCAATGCAATCTCTCAGCAATGAAGAATGTCATTTCTCTAATCACCATAATACATAACCAGATAGTGAAACATCAGGTTGAAAGACTTGACAGATTCCACATACAAGGTAGGCTGTCACAAATAAAATTCAGTTCTAAGCAGCAGACTGTGCAACTTGTTTCCCTCACCATGTCTGTTTCAGCCAGCAAGGCTGCCAGCAGTAACAGATTTTGAATAAATCATCTTCACATTAATAATCATTTCAACTAATGTTTAATTTACCAGCAGAATTCATGAGTTCATATCAAATACAATTCAAAATATAAACTCAAATGCATGCCAAATATGAAGTTCAAGTTAGAGTCTTCCGCTTTTTCTCAGATAGGAGGACATTAAAATACAACAGTACAAGGGTTAAATGACATGGTGTAGCATCCTAATTCACTCATTCAGTCTGGCTAGAAAATAATTGATTCAGTACATGAAAGAGAAGGAGTTGGTCTCAGGATTCAAGGAAGGTTTCAATGAAGATTTTGTTCTAGGAGTACAAGTTAGTCTCAACTAACATGCATGTTTTGTGCATGTGCTTTGCTTCTTTTGCATTCTGGCACTGTCTCAAATTGTAGGAGACTGTGGGACAGAGTAAGAATCTGGAAATCAAGAGATGGCCATGTTAGCAAAATTACATTAGGTCAGAAATTCCATTAGAAGACATGTAGAACTAGAAATACAATAAGGCTTGCACTGTTCTGTTCTTCTGACACTACCTCTCTAACACATGGAACACAGAGTTTCTGAACATCACAAAAAACAGGAAATAATTTTAGTAGATACCAATTTTCTAGTGGGATGGTCAGAAAGGTAATATTACGTCTCGCTTGGACAGATGATGAGAAATTGGGAACATGATAATGATACATAAACAGCTCAAGGTAAAAATACTGTTAAGGAAAAAAAAATCCAGGGAGAAAGCACAAGTTGGATAAAGTTCATTTTCAGGGAGGAAACATTAATAACTGTTGAACTGTAAAACAGCAGAGTTTTTCTTCCCCAAAAGATGGTGAGTTTTGTTGCTTGAGTTACTGGAGGAAAGCCTGCATGGAATCTCAAGGTAGAAACATATACATCACCATGATCTCAAGACTTTTCTTGGAGCTACTGTCATGCATAAAACTCCTCTCTCAGCCCAAAGTCCATGGTGTTTCTCATGACATTTAGACCAAATGATATGTTCTACACAGCATACTCTACTGCTGAAATCCCTTCCCCCAGTGTTGCCAGTGCACACTGTTTCTAATCTTCTCTTCCTGGCCACTGCGGCAACCTTGGGCTCTGTACATTGCTCATTCCTCTCACTTCTGCTTTATGGCCATGCTGCTATTGCTAAATTGATTCTTCTTAGTTCTTTATGGGCAGATAGCAAAATAATTGCTATATTTGATCTCAAGCTTAAGAACTCCAAACCACACTTCGTAAATTCTAGGTTCAACTGCTTAGACATAGATCCAAGGAGGCACATATGAGCAGCTAGGGTTGGATGGGACAACAAGTAAATAATGATTTCCCCTGTAGAAGAGAGGGCAAAGGGGAGAATCTAACATCACCCCCCCAACCTTATTGTGGGGTTAGAAAGACAACAGAGCCAGACTTCTCAGAGGAGCACAACAAAGGTCAAGAGGAAACAGGTCCAACTTACTTACAAAAAGAGGGAGATCTGACTGCATATAAGGAAATCATATCCCTATCTGCCCCATCCCAAGAGTGGATCGGCACTGGCACAGGTGCCAGAAACATTTGGGACTTCCCACGCTTAGAGGTGTTCAGGACTTGCCCGAGCACCTTGATCTTGCTTTGGAGTCAGTCCTTCTGTAGGAAGGTATTTAGGGCTAGAGACCTCCACAGGTGCCATTTAGGTGCCAGGTCACCTAAATCTTTCTGTGAGTCTGTTGTTCTGTAATACTGTACTGTTTAATTACCCATTGCACATCCCTCACAATATACTATTGCAATTTTGAGACCTCACTGCTATAAACATCTTTTCTGCAGTCATGAATAAAATAACCTCTAAATACTTCACCACTTGAAGCTGCTTGATGAAAAGCTCTCATTTCTCATGTAGAAAGAAAAAAACCCTCAAATCCTATCACGTACCAGTTTGTATATTTTATCACCATATATTTTGTCACCTATTGTATGCCTGTTACCTATTATCTTAACTGTCAACAATTATGTATATACTATTATCTACTATTATTATTCTTTTATTATTTAATATCTGCTAGATATGCTAGAAGATCCAAGATAAAAGCCAAGATGCCACTGTGCAGCATCCTGTGTAAACCCAGTCAAATCACAGATCCAACTTACATCTAAAACACAAGGCAATAGCTAGCCCAAGAAAACGACGCAATAGCTATCAGAATTAGCAATAGCTATTGTTTTCCATGTAAACAGCATAAGTGTGCATGTTTCTACGAGATGTGTACATTAGCATGCATAGTTACACTTCAACTGCATGCACACAAATGCATGACAAAATATATATATGCACAGCAAGTCTGATTTTGCAGAAATGTACCTGCATATAACGTTGTATACATAAACATAATGTTCATACACGTGTATGCGAGTATTTAAGTGCATATATTTCTAAAGCCTCTTTTCAGTAAATCTATGCATGCCCCAGTTCAAGAATGCAAAGTATGTTCATATATGCATGCTTGTTTGGGGACAATACCGGTTGAAGATACGCATGGCAAATTCATGTGATGGCCCACTCTTTTGTGCATGAGTTTGCCAACATTCATGTGATCAGCGTGCCTCAGTAGCTGAATGCAAAGATGTGCCAGTGGCAGCAAGCAAGAGCATGGAGGTAGATGGTACTGCCTCACTGTGTGTCATCTGTACCTGATCGTGGAAAAGGTCTTAGGCAATTACAAATGTCTATGGGATGGATAGAGGTTAATTGGGGTATTTTGTGCATGGATGTGCTTTACAGGAGGAACAATTTGAACGTCACAGTTCCCTTTCATATAACCCACTAATGGTCCCTGTAACACAAGGCACATGTCCCCTCAACCATCTGGACATTGCTCTACTTGCACTCCACATGCCAGGCATATGCCATCTTCCTAGAACAGCTGTGAAACCTACCTAGAGCTAGCTCTGGACTCAGGCACGGCTGATGGAGATGGAACATTTCTTCTTCATGAGCAGCCACTTCACTTGCAGTCCCTCCTGCCCAGGGTTGCATCTCCCAGCCTGGATGCCCCACCTGTGGCAGTGTGTATTGAGGGCTACCACTGCTCATGTCACTGGTGCTCTTAAAGGAGCTAAGGGATAGTACCTGTCCCTGCTCTGCTCACTCCAAATGCTTTTTCATCAAGTGCTGCATTCCAGCATATCCCATTTGCTGGCTGGACTTCAGTACCTCTCCATCACATCACCTACCCATGCTCATCCTTCAGCATTCATTCACTAAGGGAGGATGCTGCAGCCAAACTGTTGCCTGATGTTAGTGTAAAAATAGCACAAACTACTGAAGTCAGCCTTTTTTTCCAGACACCTTCCAATTTTAGCTGCTGTCTCCATATAAACAAGCGAATGACTGTGGAACAACTTAGATACAAAACATTTGCAAACTCTCAGTTATTTTAGCTATTTTCAGAAGAGAAAAATCCTGAATACAACCATAAGACTGGTTCCCAAATCCATGCAGTGTGGCACACAGGATCCCCACTGGGCAGCTTGTCTACTGAAAGAGATTTTCTTTATGGCAAATACTTTTTTTCCTATCATCAAATCACAAAAATCTTTCAGAGATAATGCATCCCTCATATTTTCCTCTGCTCATACTTTCCCTATGTGAATTTCACATTCAGATAACCCCCCACACACATCCTCTTGCTGTCTTTCATCACTGAAATAGTTCCTTCATCATAATATCCTTTTATGTCAGCTTAGTCTGAGCAGAGTGGTAAGAAACAAGACACCAAGTCTCTGATGCAAACTCACCCTCTCACTCCTGCGCAGGCAGCTGTACCAAAGGGGAGGTAGAGGAGATACAGAGGACAAGGGGAAAAGATTCACATACAGCGCACATTTAAAGTCCCAAGCACATTTTTTTTTCTGCAATGACTGCTTGTGTGAAGCAGAGCAAGAGTGAGATCCTGGTGTAAGGGTTAGGAAACTCCTCACTTGGACTCCGAAAAGAGCTACCAGAACTATCAATATGGGTCTTACGAGCATAAATTGCTCTTTGTTGAGGGAAAATTCAGAATGGAGCTCTGTAAGACTTTTCTATACAGCTGTGCCAATGGATACCCATCTATGCATCTCTGTTTTTACTCATCTATTTCTCTACTTAATATCACAGTGCGGGTGAAGGCAGGCTCAGTTTCTATTTGATGTTACAGTTGCATTAATGGTTCGATTCCACGTTTCAGTTCGCCCATTCTAACTCTCTTTTTAATCATAGCAACCGCTGACTTGAAATGCCAGTAGTATTCCTGGATATAAGTATGACTGTGGAAGTCAATGACTGACCTGGGAGACAAGAAGAGAAGGGGAAAGCTGGTAGGATTGGGAACAGACAAGGTTGTGCACTCTACAACACCATCCTAAGAGTCCCAAGAATCTTTGTGTTCCCAATGAAACCTGTGCTGCCATAAAGGTCCCCATTATGCAGCCCTACCTGTGGGTGGCTGAGAGAGTTCTCCAGATAGTGCAGGTCGTCCCCTGTCCCCCTGGCCTCGCGTCCTGCCTCCAAAGGTATCCCGTAACGGGTGCATCTCTCAAAGCGGACATAGTCGTACTGCGGTGTGCCCCCCCACAAAGCTGATTTCGATCTGGATTCCTGCGTCTTGTGCTCTGAGGTCTCCATGCCTCTCCTTTTTTCCACATGCTCAGTTTTAACAGAGCTGCTACTCTAGACCTTACCTAGAACTAACTCATGGTCTGGCCTTGACCATGGTCTCTGCACTCTTTCTTCTTTGCTTTCTTTCTCTCCTCAGACCACTCCAGGTTGTCCTGTTCTTCTACACCCTTTCTTTCTGACCCTCCTCCTCCTTGTGTCTCTCACTTTCTCCTCTTCCCACCCAAAGGCAGTGATTGCAGGACTTAACTATATTTATAGTAACCTTCCTCTGTCACATGATTTGCCAGTGCCACATCTGATCTGGGCAAAAGGGACTAACTCCACCAGGATTGAATATCAGGTGTGTGCCACAGGGGACTCCTGAAGGAGAGGGAAGGGGGAAGGGGAGAAAGGAAGGCGTATGAGAGAGAGAGCTAGAAATACAGAGTCATGAAGCAGACAGGAGGAAGAAAGAATACTTCTCCAGGAGGTCTCTTCCTACACATTTCCTTTGTCCTGAACAAGACATATTTGCAATGAGAACAAAATTCAGCGAGTTTCCTCTTTCTCTCCCCAGACATTAGCCTTCTGAAGAGTGAGAAGCAGTCATAAAGATACAATGCCAACTGTTATGCAGAGACAGAACAAGATGGGACAGGACACCTAGACTCCCAAGATACCTTTATTACATCTCAAGTCCACAGTCTACAGAAGAAGCAAGTCCTAAAGGAGGACTCCAGCACATCTGTGAATTACTGGGCATAACTCCTAAATTCAAGCATTTCCACTTATTCTTGTGAGGAACAGTTTTAGAGAATGCAGCAAGATCTCTTTGTAGATATTCAGTTATGGGTATGTGCAGAAATTTCTGTTTTTGAGGCTCAGTTTTCCACAGATTTGAGCATTCAACAGCTTCTGCCACTTGTTTCTCAGCCAGCTGAAAAGGAATGAGCTCAGCCAATGCCACTGAACTATGAAACAGTAAAAGAAATGAGAAGTGTTTTCCAGCAACAAGGCCTAGAAACAACTCCCACACTGTCAGTGGTCTACCTGCAATTGCATTGCTTTTGATAGCTATTAGTCAACAGAGAAGTGAGTTCAAGAGGATAGGAACTGCAAAAACAACAACAACAACAAAAAACCTCAAAAACAGAACAAAACAAAAAGACTCCTGTCTATCTCAAGCACAAATACGAAAGAGCTACTGCTAAACAACAACTTCCTCCTGCAGAAAGTATAATCTCTCCAGAATTATGGATCCCCACACTTTCACATTGCAAGGCAAGAGATTCACAGGCAGAGATGTGAGAGAGGTAAGAGATTCACAGCCCAGAGGGGGTGATCAGCGGCACAGGGTCTATTTGGAGGCCTGTAGTTAGCTGTGTCCCTCACGGGTCAGTCCTCAGTCTAGTCCTGTTCAATTTATTCATCAATGACTTGGATGAAGGCACAGAGTGCTCCCTCAGCAAGTTCGCTGATGATATGAGATTGGGAGGAGTAGCTGATACTCCAGAGGGCTGCGCTGCCATCCAGAGGGACCTGGACAGACTAGACAACTGGGCAGTGAGAAACCTTATGAAATTCAACAAAGGCAAGTGCAAGGTCCTGCACCTGGGGAGGAATAACCCCAGACACCAGTACAGGCTGGGGACTGACCTTCTGGAGAGCAGCTCTGCAGAGAAGGACCTGGGCATCATGGTGGACGACAAGTTGACCATGAGGCAGCAACGTGCTCTCGTGGCCAAGAAGGCCAATGGGATCCTGGGGGGCCTTAAGAAGAGCATCTCCAGCGGGTTGAGGGAGGGGATCCTGCCCCTCTACTCAGCCCTGGTGAGGCCACATTTGGAGTACTGTGTCCAGTTCTGGGCTCCACAGTACATGAAGAACATGGAACTGCTGGAGAGAGTTGAGTGCAGGGCTACAACGATGATCAGGGGCCTGGAACATCTGCCCGATGAGGAAAGGCTGAGAGAGCTGGGCCTGTTCAGCCTGGAGAAGAGAAGGCTGAGAGGGGATCTCATCAGTGTCTATAAGTACCTCAAGGGAGGGAGTGCAGAGGATGGTGCTGGCCTCTTTTCAGTGGTGGCGGCTGACAGGACAAAAGGAAACGGCCACAAACTAAAGCATCAAAAGTTCCACAGGAATTTAAGGAAAAAATTCTTAACAGTGAGAGTGACAGAGCACTGGAACAGGCTGCCCAGAGAGATTGTGGAGTCTCCTTCTCTGGCGCTCTTCAAAACCCGCTTGGATGCAAGCTTGTGCCACATGCTCTAGGTGACCCTGCGTGTGCAGGGGGGTTGGACTAGGTGATCGCTAAAGGTCCCTTCCAAACTTAAGGATTCCATGATTCTATGATTTCAAAGAAGAGTTCCTAAGTGGAGAATGTCATCTTTATTGTCTGCACAGAAATTCACCTTCACTGATTTCTATCACAAATTTATTAACCATTTCCAACATATCAAAATGCTTTTGGAAGTCTAACCTAATTTATCTAGACACTGTGGGTCACATTAAAAATGGTGTATAGCATATATTCAATTGTGCATATAATACAGAAAAAAGTGCATCAAATATAGAAGTATATACCATATATGTAAAAGGTAAAGACCAACCACTCTGTACCTAAGCAAACATCAAAGCTGTAATATAGCACCAGATATTCCGTCACTATCACATTTACTGAAAGAGAACACTAATCACACCCATCTCAGTAAACTCAAGAAAACCTTTACTCAAAGGGGCACTCTTCTAGCTCTCATTTTTCGAATGCATGAATAGCACACAAGAAATTCCTTCAATAGAAAAAAAATCCTTTTGCCAACTAACCGAACACTACTGCCTGTGACATACTGTGGAATTCCCAAGGAAAATCATTATATAATTATATAATAAAATAAGATGATCCTACCTTGAAAGACATTTTCCATTACTGTCCCTCTCAGGCTCCAAACAGGTCACAGTTTCACTGAACTCATCACTAAGCACATGAGGGACCCCAAGGCTCAGGATTGGGCAGATATCTCTAGATATTACTCAAACAAGAAACCTTTACTATGAAATAATGTAATACACCTCATCTAGTGCACCAAATGGTCAAACAGTAGAAACTGAACAATCATTATGCACATATTGTGTATATATACACTCCTACATGTGCAGCTAAGGGCATAACAGTTATTTAATTCCCTCTCATCAAATGGTCTCTCAGACAGTGCCTTTGAAGAATAAGACTAAGAAATGAAATTAACGATTCCAGTGAATCACAGAATATATGCTGTATATGTTACATGTAGACTTATTTACTTTATAGCATCATATCATCTGCACACTAATATTATCATGTTCCACAGATTATAAATCACCCCTTCCTCTCTTTCCCCTAAAGGTAAGCACTTTATTAGCACTCTTGGTGCTTTTAACATCCACTCCATACGAGAAGGTACCAATAACAGTCTGTCACAGATAATCTTACTGGTACTAATCCAGTTACACCCAATGCAACTATTCTCAGCTTTTTCCTTTTTAGCTTTTTTAGTGTTTTTAGCTATGCTGTTTCTATTTCAGACTCAAAGAAGAACTTGTAGGGCTGACAGCTCATCTACTTTATCCAGCTGCCCAAGCTAGTCTAATGAAAAGTATTCCTCTGGCTCTATCTGTTGTCTTATCCATGTTTTCAGACCAACAAGTCACAGAAGCAGAGAGAATCTTGAGTACAAACGCAGAGATCTGTCTTTCTGCACTATGGCTGTACAAGTGCTTTCAGATCTCCCTCCTTTCACGTATTCTGTAATCCCCTGTGATAATTTATCTCAATATATCTTTTCTATTGCCAGTCTGTCCTACTCCCTCTCCTGCCTCCTTTTTGCTATAGAGACTTAGTACTGGTAGGGCACAGCAAGGTGGTATTTCTGTTGCTTGGAAGGTTAGCAATAGACTCAGGAGACCAGTCTCATTTTATATAACAATGAAAGACAGAGGAAGACATAATAATCATCTTTTTGCTAGTCACAAACATGGACACCCTGCAGATATGACCTCTCACAATCCCATAGGCGCACGTCTTCAAAGAACTCACAAAAATGCGATGCCCTCAGCAGGCCTTTCTAGATTTCCCCACAGCACACAAGAGGAAAGGTGCTTTTACACCAGCTTTTACAGTACTTTATTCTTCACATACTATAGTTCATAGAGGGACACCAAAGTGTCATTTCCATTGTGCCGTCTTCAAGCAGGACACCTGCATGACACATGAAACTACTGCTACAGCCCAGAGTAGGGTCTTAAATGTGAAGAAGTGAGTAATAGAAGTTAGAAGTCTCACCTCAGATTGATCTCTTCTCCAGGCAGCCATCTATCTTTTTCCCTCCTTTTCTCAGGTTGTCCTGGGTCTCACCCTTTTGTCTTGACTTAATGTCTCTTTCTGCCAATATTTCCTTCTCCTGACTGTCTTCCAGAATGCAGAAATAGAGTACCCAGTCTTCCCATCCTACTGCCTATATAGTGAAAGTTCTGATCAAGTGAGGGGGCAGGGGAAATAAAGAAATGATTGAATGAGAGGGAGATATAGGCTGACCTTGAACACCAGCACTTCTCTCATAGTCCTGTATCAGGGATATTTATCACCTGAAATCACATTACTATAAATCAAAAGAGACAAGGTTAATGTTGTCCCCTGTGCCCTTCCCATGCAATTATCAGACATCATACTAATTTCCAAGCCTTCTGTTTATACTAGTGCTTTTTATGTTTCTCTACTAGCCTCATCCTTAAAGATCTGGCGCATTTGGTTTCACTATATGCAAACCTTATAACCCGCCAATAGATTGTGGACTTCTCTGGAAAGACACATAATATCTATTTAACAGCCAACATCAATAGTACATGCACAGAAATTGTAAGGGATAGTGACACAGATTCTTTTACTGTCCCTAACAACTGACATGAGTTAAATTTGTGGAGGTAGAATTATTGTTATTCAAAACAACACATAAAGATGAGAAAGAAGTATTTTATAAATAAAGAACAAA